TGGAAGGAGTATAGAGTCACTGTACCAAAAGGACTTGGCTAACACAGAAAAATTTCATTAAACAACATATAAGCAAGAGCCTGTGGTGATGAAGGAAGAAGTTCAAGCTGCTCTGAAAGAATTGCCCAAAAACAAGGAACCAGGAATTGATGGCATACTAATTGACATATTCCAAGAAACAGAGGCTACCCTGGATGTGCTCATCAAGCTGTGTCAAGAAATCTGGAGGACAATCACTTGTCCAACTCACTGGAAGAGATCCATATTTGTTCCCATTCCAACGAAAGGTGACCCAATAGAGTGTGGAAATTATCAAGCATCATTAATATCATATGCAAGCAAGATTCTGCTGAAAATTATCTAAAAATGACTGGATCAGCATATCAACAAAGAACTATCAGATGTGCAGGCTAGGCTTAGAAGAGGCCATAGTTTGGGATATTATAGCTAATTACTAATGCAAAGGCATTTGTGTGGATAACAACAAACTGTGGCTAACTCTGAGAAGAATGGGAATCCAAGGGGAGCTCTGGTGGCCTAGTGGCAAGAAGCTGCACTGCAATCCAAGAGATTCACAGTTCAAATCCACCAGATGCTCTGCCGGGAAAGGAGGGTCAATCTCCTCCTGTACCAGTCAGATCTGATGTGACGGTGCGCGCGCATAAAAATAATAAAATAAAAATTTTTTAAAAAAAGAATGGGAATCCCAGAACACTTGATTGTGCTTATGCAAAACCTATATTTGATCAGGAGGCAGTCATCAGACCAGAGCAAGGAAGCACTAAATGGTTCAAAATCAGGAAGTGTGTATGCCAGGGATGTGTCCTATCTCCATACCTTTTTAATCTATATGCAGAACATATCATCTGGGAGGCCAGACTCTATGAAAAGTGTAACATGAGGAAGACTCATCAACAACCTCCATTATGCAGATGATACAACCTTGCTTGTCAAAAGTAGGGAGGACCTCAAGCACTTGCTGCAGAGGGTCAAGGACTATAGTCTTCAATATAGATTGAAGCTTAAGAAAACAAAGATTCTCATCACTGGGCCAATTGGCAGCATCATGATAGATGGTGAAGAGATTGAGATTGTTAACAGCATCAGTTTGCTTGGCTCCACAATCAACACTCTTGGTACCAGCTGCCAAGAAATCAAAAGACAAATTGCATTGGGCAAGACTGCTGTCAAGGACTTCTACAGAATTCTGAACAGTAACGGTATCAGTCTAGAGATTAAGGGGCACCTGATCCGGGCCATGGTCTTCAAAATTACTTGCTATGCATTAGAAAGCTGGATAATAACTAGGGATGATAGAAGAAAAATTGATGCCTTTTAGTTGTGATGTTAGAGAAGAGTACCGAATACCATGGACTGCTAAGAGAAAAACAGGTTTATCCAAGAAAGGGTGAAACCAGGCTGCTCCTTGGAGGCAAGGATTCTGAGGCTTCATCTGACATACTTTGAGTATGTTGCAGGATGGACCAGTCCCTGGAGAAGGACATCATGTTTGGTGGAAGGACAGCACAGGAGAAGAAAACCCTCGATGAGATGGATTGTCTCAGTGACTGGGGTAATGGGGTTAGGTGTGTCAGAGACAATAAGGTTGGCACAGGATAGAGCAGGGTTCAGAGCTGCTGTACATAGGGTTGCTATGAGTAGCAAGCAACTCAATGGCCCATAACAACAACAATAATAAAACAGAGTGAAAATTGTTGAACAATATTATTAACATCACACATAAAAATATTGCAGAAGATTATTAAAAAATCATTGAAGTGGCTTTTGGCATTTCCAAAGTGTGAATGATTGTGGCTAGATCGCCATCGTTGAACCTCATCCTTCCCACCTCCTTGGCTCTTCCTCCAAAAGCTCTGAATAAAATAGTTTGATCTCAAAAAAAGAAAAAAAAATCAGTGAAGTGGTAAATCATCAGAGAATTGCCGGAAATTTGGGCTGGATTCAGAAGAGGGTATAGAACGAGGGATGTCATTGCTGATGTTGCACGGATCTTGGCTGAAAGTAGAGAATACTAGAAAGATGTTTACTTGCTTTTAATTGATTATGCCAAAACATTCGACTATGCAGCTCATAATGAGTTGTAAATAATTTGAAGAATAAGTGTTTCAGAATTCTTAATTATGTTCATGTGAAACCTATACATAGACCAAGGAACAGTTGTTTGAACAGAAAAAGAGAATACTATATAGTTGGGTTTTTTGTTTGTTTTTTTGTTTTATTTTGGTTTTGGTAAAATGATCTCATACACCTTACTCCTCAATGTTTGTCTTCTATTTGTCTCAACTAGTTTTCACAGAATACTATATGGTTTAAAATCAAGAAAGACGTCCATCAGAACTTTATCCCATCTTAATGTCTATTCAAACAAGGACAAACAAGAAGCTAGACTATAGGAAAAAGAATATGGCCACAGGATTGAGGAGGACTCAACAACCTACATTATGCAAATTATACCTTACTTGCAGAAAGTTAAGAGGACTTGAAATACTTACTGATGATTAAGACTATAATCTTCTACTTGAATTATGCTTCAAAATTACAAAAACCAAAACCTCATCACTGAACCAATAAGCAACATCACAACAGAAGTAGAAAAGAATGAAGTTGTTAATGACATCAGTCCATTTGGATCTACAATCAATACCTAAGGCAGCAGCAGTTAAGAGTTCAGTGGTGATTAATTTTATAAAACATCATGAATGGGAGTGATTGTATGAAACATAATGTGAATGAAGTACAATGTGAAATGCAATGTTGTAAGCAAAGCAATATAAAATTTTTTTTTATAAATGGTAACAATAGAAAAAAAGATATACTGATTGCATTGGGTAAATCAAAGACCTCTTTCAAGTGCTAAAGAGCAATGATATTAGTTTAAGGACTAAAGTGTGCCTGATATTTCTCATTGTTTCATATGCATGTGAAAGTAAGACAAGGAACCAGAAAGATCCAAAGAACCAATGCCTTTGAATTGTGGTACTTATAAAGAGTATTGAACATTCCATGGACTGCCAAAAGAGCAAACCAATCTATCTTGGAGAAGTGCAACCAAGATGAAATTAGCGTGCTCTTTAGAGGTGAGAACGGTGAAACTTCAAGAGTCACAATTCTAAGTCGGTTGCAACTCAATGGCGCATAGCAACACTGCCATAGCTACTCACGTAAACTTTAGAACACAAACAATAATCCATAGTGTTCACAGATGCACACAAATAAAGACATAGATGGAACACATGTTACATAATTTACAGTGTATACCAACTAATGTTATCATTTAATGTTATTACTGACCTGGAAGAATTATTAAAACTAGAGCAGTGGTTCCCAAATTTTCTATGAATTGGAATTAGTTGGGAACTTTGAAACAATACTGATGTTTAGCTTCCATCACCAAAACCAAACTCAAACCAACTGCCATCAAGCTGATTCTAACTCATAAAGACCCGACATTGGGTCTCTAAGGCTATAAATCTTTACAAGAGATTTATTCCTCTTTCTTCCTAAGAGCTACTGGAAGATTCAAAACCACTGGCTTTTCTATTAGCAGAAAGGCATTTACATAACATACTTCACCAACAAGGCTCCTTATTTGATAGCTATTCAAATAAATGCACATAGCGCATTATTTAAATATGAGAAACAGGTTATATAGTTGAGCAAGCACCCATTTGTATTCTAAAAAAAGTTTGTTAAAGCATTCACTTGGTAAAAATAGTATTATGAAGAAATGGAGAGAATAATAAAGAATCAAGACAATCAGAGTGGTCGATTACAAATTCCTATGGACTTCTCACCTAAAAGAGGTCGCCTGGTAATTTAACACATATCTAAGCAAAAACTGTTAACACTCAATTTTTTTTACCTTAACATGGCTTTACTGGAACAGACAAGGGCAGGATAAAAATAGTAAAACATGATAACATAAAACATCCTAGAGTATATTAGGAATATTAGCTGTGGATTGACTGAGATGCAGTGATGTAAGTCCAGTGAACGTTTTTTCGAGTAATAAACACAAAAGCAGATGTGCAAATTTTAGCAGCCCATAAAGTCGTTGACTTTTTTTCACTTTATGTATTTTGTTGGAACATGTAAGATATTTTTAAAGATAATAGGTGAAGCATATTCTGCCCAAATCACGCTCTGGGATGATTAAGCTATTTTGAAATTGTTTATTCAGCACTTGGCAAAACGTCAATACTGGCACAAACTTTCAATAATTTTCATTGTTCATTTTTAAAAAAATCTCAATTTATACCAGTACGTACAAAGCAAGTTAGATGCCTCAGACGATTATCCAGTTTAAGCAGCGGAGATTAAAAAAAATCTCAGGACAAAACTGGAGCTTTAACGTTGTTTTCTATTTCACTTAACTCCGAGACCAATTGTGTTAACCAGTCTCTGCTGCAGCATAAAACCAATAGCCAAGCCTAAGTACAGTGATACTGACAATTATAAACTCTCTTACCAACGTGACAAACACCGGGCCAAGCTTTCAAAAGCAGAAGCCGCAATTCACCGGAAGGAAGATGAAAGGGTGTCGAATATCTCGTTGCCTTTCCAATCGTGGTAGATCTGTTTCCCGTAATGACAGAGAAAAGGACCAAGCATCGCAAAAGATCCCTGCCCGGGCAGAAACTGTAAGATCCAGAAAGGGACCAGCCAAAGAGTGGACAGTAAGTAAGAGCCGCAAACCCGTTTGACAGCTCAGACAGCGCGCGCGCGCTTGGCGAGGGGCAGTTAACGCGCCTGCGCGTTGTGGCTCTTCCGTCTCCCGCTCCACCTACCGCGGGGGCAACCGTCACAAGGCTGCCGCCACTTCCGCGCGCGCGTGCGCAGTGGCGGGCCGAGCGCGTGCGCACCGCCGGCTCCTTCCTGGCTCGAGCTCCAGCTGCTCACGCTCCTCCCCCCTCCCCCCTCCCGCTCCCCATCCCCCAGTACCGCGCGGCCCGGTACCAGCTCGTGGTCCCGCCAAGGGAGCGGTCCGTGCCTCGTGCTCCCGGGACGGCCGCGTTGTGCGTTGGTGGCGCGTGGTGCTAGCCATGGAAGTGGATCAAGTGAACGCGCTGTGCGAGCAGCTGGTGAAAGCGGTGACGGTCATGATGGACCCCAGCTCCACCCAGCGCTACCGGCTGGAAGCCCTCAAGGTAGCCGGGATCCTGGCACCCCCGGGCCTAGTCGGAGATCCTCCTCCGCCCCCAGCTCCCTGGGCCTCTCTCTCCCTTCTCTGGCAGCCTTCTGTGCTTCTCCCACCCCCGCCTTCTCCGCTCGCTGCTCCTGTTCTTCGCCCGGGACTCGCCAGTCCCTGGCGGGTTCACACCTCTCCGCCACTTCCCACTTTTTCTCCTCTCCCTTTTCTCCACTTCTATTCACTTTGAGTCCTTTCCACGGACCCTTCTGTCTGCTCCTCGCCCCGCCAGGCAGGCTGCTTTCCACTGCACACCACCACCTTCCCATGGCGCACGTGTTGATCCCGCCCCAAACACCGATCTCATTCTTTGCTGTCTTTGGTGCACCAGATGTAGCCTTTTGCCCATCCGCCCTCGCGACCCGTGCTAATCGAACCCCAGCTCTCCGTGGACATCTTTACTTGCTTTAGTAGCTTCTCAACTAACCCTCTTCATCGTCTTGGACATTTTTGGACAAATTATTACACACAGGCGCACACACCCCCCTTTTTTTTAGTGCGTGGTATTAGACTAGTTTGCACGAAGATGAACTTCTACCACTTACTTTGCATTTTAACGAGGGCGCTTTGGTTTCCTGAAAAGTTTTCTAAAGTCTTGTGTGCTCCAGTCCTCCTGGGACTGAGTGATTTGTTACAATTGCGAGATCCTGGTACAAATGAGGATGCTAATTGAAAAACTATTCCCTGTCAAAGTTTATGAGGTCTAAAAAAATTACTTTCAGTAGTATGTGTTGTAATATTTTAAGTAATGCATCTTCGTAAGATAACATCACTTAAAAGGAACTTTAGATGATTGTATACCACAGAGTTTGAAATAAAAAAATATGGATCATCCGGGGTTTTTTTTTTAATTTATTTTATTTTGGAGTATCTAAAATGGAAAAATAGAGATAATATTGTTAATGACCCTAATTTTACCCAACACCTAAATAATTTTAAGTTGTTAAAATCTAGCACATCTTACAGGTTTTCATCTCTTTTCCGTCGTTTACGAAAAAAATTAGGCTAAGGCCTTGTGTAGGGGGGAAAGTCAGTAATCACTGCACTTGCAAAATAGCCCAAAGTCGTTTATTTCAGCCCAAGGTGTAGAAGTGAAAAGAGTAAGAGAAGGGGAATTGACACTGTCAGTAGTACAACTCCACCTGACAATCAGAATGGCTACATCCTTTGAGAACATTTATACAGGTTACAATTTAAAGTTTCCTTTCACATGTAAGTGCTTAAGAAGGGAATACTCTTACACTTGTTTACAAGTTCGCTTTGCTTTGAGAGGCTGCTATCAGACACAAGATGTTGACAGGAAGGAGGAACAAAACCCAAAAGGTGTTCTTCAGGATATTCTTTTTTTTTTTTTTAATTTTGTGTATGTGTACCGTCAAATCAGATCTGACTGGTACAGGAGGATATTGCGCCTCCTTCTCCGGCAGAGCGTCTGGTGGATTCGAACCGTGTTCCTCTGGGATTGCAGTTCAGTTTCTTGCCACTAGGCCACCAGAGCTCCCCTCTTCAGGATATTCTTAGAATTTTTTTTATTATTATTATTATTATCCTATTAACTATTTTAATTGTAGTTTTAACCAAAGTTAGAGAGAAAAGTTGCATTTTCATTCATTGTTGCACATTTTCCTCCCTTTACCCTCCCTCAGTTCACTTACTTTCTTTTTTTGAGCCTTCATTGTTAAGCTTTTTCCTCCCCCTCTCCCCCTCCTATTATTAATTAATGAGTGAGGCAAACTGAGAGACAGGTGATTTCCTTTAGCCCAGGTCAGTGGGAGGGAGCTCTGTTGCCCCCAGTGGGTAAGAATTTATGCTGCCAACCCAAAGGTAGGCTGTTCTAATCCACCAAAGGAGAAAGTTAGTCTCCTCTGCCATCCATTTAAAGCCTCTGAAAACCCACTGGAGGGTCAAAATAATGAGTCTGTTGCAAATTGACAGCGAGGGTAGAGAAAGTAGAGGATGAAAGTAGTAGATGAAGTACCTTAGGCTTGTGTCCTTTTGTTTTTCTGGGGTGGCTTTTAGTGAAGATGCCAAGGCTATATGTCATAGTAAGAGAACTTCTAGGGAGATGAGTGTGTGAAATTCAGAAAGTGTTGAGGTCCTGCAGACTAAAGTTGTGAATTGGCATTAGGAAACCCCCCATTTTCTTTTTTTTAATTTTATTTTTTTATTATTAATTTAAATGAAAATTTACAGAGACTTTGGATTTCCTTTC